TCTTAGCCTGTCGAGGTTGCCGTGTTCAGTGGCCACGTGGCCCCCTTTCCCACCTCCGTGGGGGAGCAGAAAGCCCGGAGGCGTTTGGAGCTCAGGTGCTGGTTTTGCAGCTACGCTGGGCCGAGAGCACGCACTGCAGCGGTCAGTGTGGTTGGGCTGCCATCTCCCCAGCCCTTGCTCAGAGCTAGGTTTTATGCCTGTGTGATTTTTCCCAAATCGCCTTCATCTTCTTAACCTAAGTGAGGGGTCAGCACTCTTGGGGGAAGAAACAGACCGTTGTCTTTCAGACATCTTTCTCTGACTGTAAAATGCAAACCTGAATCCCAGATGCTGAGTTAGCATTTGCAAAGTATTAGAGATTCTTTAAGAGTTGTTAGTCTTCTCACCTGTGTCCTGGGCTAGAGGCCGAGGCAGCGGTTGGAGAATTGTTCGGGCCTTTAAAGACTCCTCTCCTCATCTGTTTTCTTTCCCAGGTTCACCATATCAATGCCAACTACTTCCTGGACATTACTTCTATGAAGCCTGAAGATGTTGAAAGTAGCATCTTTAGTTTCTCAAACAATTTTGAAGACCCTTCTACTACAACTTACCTCCAGTTCTTGAAGGAAGGACTGCAAAGAGCAAAACCGTACATGCAGACCTAAAAACAAAGGCACCTGAATGCCCCACAGAGATGGCCAAAGACTTCAGAGATCTATTTTGATTACAGCAATTCCTCCTCATCTTCGTGGCAGATGTTGATGTTAAGATGCAGGCAGTCCCAGGACTGGGGCTTTGCTCTGGGTGTTGGTTTGAGGCTAAGTTTCAAGTGATACCAGTTTACATAACCTGCCCTTTTGAGTTCAGGCAAATTTTTACAGGAGTGAAAATACTTGAATCTATAAACATTCTCGGCGCATACACTTTGGTTTGCCACTTACCCTCATGTTTTTCCAGCTCCTGTTCAGACTCTGTGGTGAAACTCGTCTAACAGCTATGCCAAGCGTCACCTGGAAAGCCCTGATCTCAAGGACTGGACTGTGTGTTGAATCACGGAGAATAGCGTTGCCGTTACAACCGAACACTCGCAGTGAGCGCCTGTGCCCTGGGGCCAAAGGCGCAGAATCCAGCGCGGGTAGGGAGCTCCTTCCTGGGAGCCGGTGTCCTCCACGCCTCCTCGCCAGTGGCAGCTCTGCACCGTAAGCTGCCGGGCGGCTTGGATGCCAGCTCTTCACAATGGCATTTATTGACAGCAGTGGCATAACGGGACTGTAGCTGGTAATGTGTAGGCATGAAAGGAGGAGGTTTGAACTGGAGGCTCTGGAGTAGCCTCCTCCCAGCACCCTGTGTGACACGGGAGAGCGGCCTCACTTATTCGGGTTCTGGGCATCTGAGGGAGGTGCTGAGGTTGACACAGTGAAATTAGGAATGGAGACGAGGGCATCGGAGGTATGGTGCAGCTCAGAGACGTCAGGCGTGGATTAACTCGGGGGGATTAGGGGCCAGAGTTTGTTGGTTCCACCAGTGCAGCACGTGCGCTCCAGGCTACAGGGCACAGTACGGAGTCGTGCCCCCACCCCATTCAGCCCAGGGCCGCTCCCACCCCACCGGCTTTGAGAGCTGTGTTCTCCCAGTGTCTCCTCATTGCTGGTGAAATGCCCTGTCCTTGTTTGCTTTGAGCTTCCAAGTCACACTGAATGCTGAACCATGGTGAAGTTCCCTTTGGGAACGGGAGGTTCAGCGTTGCCCTGAGAGCATTAGCTGGTTGAGAACCGAGCAGTTTTAAAAGCCAGCAGTACTAAAGAAATTTTTGGGGGATTTTTCCAAAGAAATTGTTAGGACAGAACACCACTGTCCCTTATCTGTAACCACCCTGAGCAGCTGCTCCTACTCTGTACCAATGCCTGGCTACTGAGGGAGCGTAATTTGGAGAAGGAAAGGTTAAACAAAACGGGTTTTAAAGCATATTCCTGCAGATAGGTGAGGAGACAAAGCATCTTCAATAGATGGCTGCAAACAGCCGTGGCTGTTGATGCTTTTTCTGCTCTCTGAAGCACAATTTTGTTGGACCAAATCAAACGGGGAAAAGCCATTTTTTTTGGAAGGGGTATTTTCATTCCTGAGCCTCCAGGACCTGGGAGGAACCCGGGGGCCGTGATTAGCCTGTCCCCACCCTGCCCCAGCCCCTCCTGTCTGTGTCCGTGGCTGGAGATGGAGCTTAGACGGACCTCTGGGCTGAACCGGTGTAGCTTCACTAATTGCTCTAGTGAGATTAATTACCCCTGGGATGTTTCTCAGTGTTGCCTTTTATAACTATGCATTAGCTCTGCACTTTTCTCGCACTCCAAGGGGCCTGTGGTAACGACAGGCTTGGATCTGGCGGCGCTTTCAGGTGTGGAAAGCGCCAAAGCCTCCAGGCAGCGTTCGAGACCGAGCTCCTGTCGCACCGGCGGTCTCGTCCCTTGCAGGGACTTTGGCCTGAGCGGAGAGCAGCAGAGGAGACCGAGTGCCTGCCTCCCCTGGCTCCTCGTGAGGCACAGCTCTCCCGTACATCTGCCCTTCTGGCTTTTACAAAGCTTCACGTGAAGTATTTTTGTTGCACCTTTCCCGAGCCCTTCGGTCAAGGGCTTCGGACTTGGTGTCTGTCAGTTGTGCTCAGGTGGAGAGTTCATTCCATTTGTTTTTCCTTTTTTGCAGCAGAAGGGCCCGGAGAGGCCAGCGGCCGAGCAAGCAGGGATTGCTTTTGTCTTTCAAGGCTCGGAAAACCAGGCGCAGGAGCGGTTCTGCAGGGCCAGGAGAGCCCCTCTCCCTCGGGCTGGGAGCTGCAAAGGGCAGCGTCGCTCTGTTGATCCCGCAGACGCAGAGCTCTGG